AGGGCAGTTAACAACAACAACAAACTTCCCTGCTTCCCACAAAAACTTCAAATACATGTCTACATACATATATAAAGGAACTGTCATATTTAAATTAAGCCATACCTGGATTCCCCTTCAGCTGGCTGCCCCTTGCTATGGTCAATAACATGCATCTGAGAAATATTTGGGGCATACATCTGAACATCAGCTCCTCCACGGCTCAAATGGACCAATATGCTATGAAACACATTGAGAGATATAGAAAGGGAAGAAGCAAAATGTCAACCACATTGAAATGAATATTAACTTACAACCAAAGTTTGAAAGGCAATATCTGGGAGGTGGAGGAAGAGATTAAATTGCTTATATGATAAATTTACACATTTCTGTCACTAGATCCCATCTGATCATGAAGGTAAGCAGGCTCAGCACAGGTTAGTACTAGGACTGGAGCTGCCACCTAGTATCAGGTGTTGTAGGCTATACAAGTGAACTCTTTTTATCCCTAAGGGTTTGGTCCCTGGGGCCCCTGCAAATAAGGAAAAATATGGAAGCTCAAGTCCTGCTGGATAATATGGAGCATGGCGGATGCTCAAATCAGCAGATGGGATGTCTGCCAATACCGAGGGCCCACTATATTTCAGAGGAAGAAACTGGCAAAACCACCTCTGAGTATTCTTTGCCTAAGAAAATTCTATGAAATTCATGGGGTCACTGTAAGTCGACAGACAACTTGGAGGCACATGCATGCATATACAATTGGACTGTCCACCTGTTCAACTGTTACTCATTTGGAAAGCGTATAATTATAAAAATATAGGCTTACGCAGAAGCTTCATGGATTTCAGTACCATCATAAACACCACATCCAGAAAGGACCTAAAAAGATAGTTTTGTGATTATTGGCATCTGGTCACCATTGCGAAAAGAGAAGATTGGATTAGACAGGCCTTTGGTCTCATGGTTTCATGGCTGTGCAGAGAAGTACAGAGCCTTTTTTTGCTTGGACTGATAATCAAATCCCAGCTGGGCCATGTAAACCCATTGGGTGACCATGGGCAAGTCACACACTCTCAGCCTCAGAGGATGGCAATGTCAAACCCCCTCTGAAGAAACGAGAATGAGAGCTAGCATAGTATAGTGCAGGGGTAGGCAACCTTTCCCCTTTAAGGGCCGAGGGACTTCAGCTCCCAGAATCCCGGGAGCTATTGGCCAACATGGGACTATTGGCCAACATGGCTGAGGCTTCTGGGAGCTGAAGTCCCTCGGCCCTTAAAGGGGAAAGGTTGCCTACCTCTGGTATAGTGGTTTGAGCATACGACTCTGGAGACCAGGGTTCAATTCCCTGCTCAGCAATGAAGCCCACTGGGTGACTTTGGGCAAGAAGTCACACTCTCTCAGCCTCAGGATGGCAATGGCAAACCCCCTCTGAAAGAAACATGTCAAGAAAAACCCATGATAGGGTCACCATAAGTCAGAAACAACTTGAAGGCACACAACAACAACAAGATAAGAAGCATTAACTAAAAGGCAGTTAAGAGTTAGTTAAGCATTATTAAGACAAGGAGTAGATCAAAAGGACTATGTTTGGAAATATTATATTAATAATTGTCATTATAATCTTGAGTTATACGTTTGTTTAGTTTTAACTTGCAATCAGGATACAGCCAAACATAAAATATACATATATGAGATGATTTATATATTAGTATAGATAGAAAGACCTTAGATTAGAAAGTTAACTGAGGACCTGAACAGAATGCCAGAAATAATCCAACTTGAGACCACTTTAACTGTCCTGGCTCAGTGCTAGGGGATCATGGGAACTGTAGTTTTTCTGAGACACTGAGCCTTCCCTGGTGCCACAATAAACTACAGTTCCCATGATTCAGGGCAGCTAAAGCGGTCTCAAACTGGATTATTTCTGGCAGTCTGTTTAGGCCCTCAGTAACAATGAAAATATATTTATAATGTATTAAACGTATGAGACAAAAGTACATATAACACAAGGCAAGAGGACGGAATACAAAGATATAAAGAAACGAGACAAATGTAACTGTATATACAAAATGATAATTGCATTTTGTTTGTATTCAATAAAGAATGTAAGAAGATAAGTCTAAGAAGGGAAGCTAGAGAGGCAAGATTTGAACCCATGCCACTGGGGGAGGGAAAGGGCACAGGGTGCTACATTGGTTGGATTTCTGCCTTTGCCACAGCTCTGAGAGAGCCCTTCGACCGCAGCTGCCAAGGAAAGGAGCCCAGGAGGCCCCAACGGAGCCTCAGGCCTGGCCGGGACTCACCACCGCCACTTTGGCCCCGCGAAGGCGCTGCGCAGAGCCATGAAGGGGAGCCTGGCTGGCTGGGACCCCCCTCAGACGCAGCAGCGCCCTCGACAAGAGGGGCGCCGGCCTGGAAATTGCCAACAGGGCGGCCAACATTTTTCAGTCAGGCTGGACGGGAAGGAACTAAAATGCGGCCTAGCGGCGTCCGAGGCGCCTCTCTGTGGCAATAAGTAGGCCCTGAGGCGGCGGCGGCGGTGCAGGAGCGCCACCTAGAGGCGGCCTGTAGGGGAAGCCTTGCCGCCATTTTGCGGCCTTCTGTCGAGGCAAAGGAAGGGAGGAGGAGGGCCTCCTCGAAATGGGAGGTCCGGCCATAACGGGGCAAACTTTGCCCCCTCAGGTTGTTTTTTTTTTTTTTTAGACTTCATTTCCCAGAAGCCCTAGCCAGCTGGCCAATGAGCAAGGGTTCTGGGAGGTGAAGTCCAAACCATCTGTACGTACAGAGATCTTGTAGCACCTTTGAGACTAAGGGCCTGGACAGATTGACAGAAATAATCCAGTTTGTGACTACTTTAACTGCCCTGGCTCAGTGCTAGAGAATCATGGGAACTGTAGTTTATTGTGGCACCAGAGCTCTCTGACAGAAGGCTCCCTAGCATTGAGCCAGGACAGTTAAAGTGGTCTCAAGATGGATTATGTCTGGCAGTCTGTTCAGGCCCTAACTGAAAGGAAGAATTTGGGCAACCTCTTTCTTTCAGTGAGGGGTAGGCAACCTTTCCCCTTTAGGGGCCAAGGGACTTCAGCTCCCAGAATCCCAGGACCTATTGGCCAACATGGGGCTATTGGCCAACATGGCTGAGGCTTCTGGGAGTTGAAGTCCCTCGGCCCTTAAAGGGGAAAGGTTGCCTACCCCTGAGAGAGGGCCTTTGCAGACTGCCAGAAATAGTGCACATTACATTGAGGCACTGCCCTGGCTCAGTGCTAGGGAATCATGGGAATTGTATTATTTTCTGGGACATTGAGCCTTCTCTGTCAGAGAGCTCTGGTGCCACAATAAACTACAGTTCCCATGATTCCCTAGCACTGAGCCAGGGCAGTGCCTCAATTTAATGTGCACTATTTCTGGCAGTCTGCAAAGGCCCAATGTTTTAGAGAATTCTACAGACATGTCTACTTTTAAGTTTTTGATCCTTTGTGCACTCACTGAGTAAACAGTTAACTTTTTGTCCTACACCTTCAATAATATATTTAATATACCAATTATTTAGGAAATAACTAGTGAATTATGACAAGAAACAAGTGTCTTAGAAAATCAGTGAGGCTCAAAGCTTCAGGTGAGTCTCAAAGGTGCTGCAAGATCTCTCTATAAACCAACACGGTTATATCTTTGAGTTGCAAAACATTTGGAGGACCAAAGTTGCCTCCCAAGTTATGTTTAGCCTGGTTAAGAGATGACAGGATACCCATGTTTAAAACATTTGAAGGGATGCCATCCTAGCAAGGTGGCCTAGTGGTTTGAGTGTCAGACAGGGACCCTGGAGACCAGGGTTCAGACCCCAGCTTGGTCATGAAACCCACTGGATAACCTTGGGCAAGTCACACTCTCTCAGCCTCAAGGGAAGGGAAATCTTGCCAAGACAACCCCACAATAAGGTTGCCTCAGGATGGCCGAAAGTCGGAAATGACTTAAAGGCACACCGCAACAATGACCTTAGGCAGGTCACACTTTCTCAGCTTCAAGGGAAGGCAAAGGCCAACCTCCTTTGAAGAAATCCTGCCAAGAAAACCTCATGATAAGGCGACCCGCCTTAGAATGGCCATAAGTTTGAAATAATTTGAAGGCACACAACAACAGTTACCTTAGGCAGGTAACACTCTCTCAGCCACAGAGGAAAGCAAAGGCCAACCTCCTTTGAAGAAATCTTGCCAAGATAACCCCATAATAGGGTCGCTTTAGGGTGGCCATAAGTTGGAAATGACTTGAAGGCACACAATGTTAGGTAAATCACACTCTCTCAGCCTCAGGGGAAGCAAAAGCCAACCTCCTCTGAACAAATCTTGCCAAGAAAATCCCATGATAGGTTTGCCTTAGGGTTGCCATAAGTCAGAAACAACTAGAAGGCACACAACAGCAATATATCAAGGATGGTGAAAGCTTGCTTTTCTGCTACTCCAGAGACTAACAAGGGTGCATTTACACTGCAGAATTAATGCAGTTTGACACCACTTTAACTGTCATAGTTCCATGCTAAAATATTCTGGAATTTGTAGTTTTGTGAGATATTTTTTTCCTTCTGTCAGCTCTCTGGTGCCATAACAAACTACAAATCCCAAGATAGGATAGACCCATGACAGTTAAAGCAGTGCCAATCTGCATTAATTCAGCAGTGTGGTGTCAGAACCCAAAAGTTCCAGCCAGTATAGCCAGTGATAAGGGATAATGGGAGTTGTAGTCTAAACATCTGGAGGCCCGAAGATTTCCTCAGCACATCTTTTAACTGTGTGACCAAATCTGGTCTTGGTTTCTTCTCTGCTAAGGACCTCTGGCTTCACAGCAATCCTATAAGGCAGACTAAAGAATAAAAGGGCCTCTACAAGCCTAGGTGGGAATGTTTTTTCAGCATGAAATCCAAATCTATGTTTCCAGACCAGGGATGGGGAACCTATAGCCATCAAAAGCTGTTGGATTCCCATCAGGTATATCCCTGCATAGTCAATGGTGAGGGATATTTTAGTTTAACACTCTCTGTCTCTGTTGTAGAGCTATAGTAGCTTAGACCGTGTTTCTAGAACCGTAAGCCCCAGCAGTTCTAGTTAGCATAGGCAAGGATGAGGAATGCTAGGAGTCGCAATCCAGTATCTGGAAGGCAACATAATACACAGAAGTGGAAAATTTGCCCCTCTCTACCAAGCCCTTGTCTTATGAACTACCCTTTTTATCAAACCATTATCTCCTGTTTTTATGGTGAATTCGTACTATTCCTTCTACACAGAATGACTTCTGTTATCAGCCATATATGTAACAATGTCCCAAACCTTTATTATGCAATTTCCACTCCTTTGCAAATAAGCTGAGGGAAAACTAGAGGGGTGTGTGTGTGTGTGTGTTTAAAAACCAATCCTACACAGTATCCAACAGTTGAACATTAGAAATAGGTTAGGGAGTGCTGGATCCATCCTAACATTCTTCAAAGAACTGGGTCAGCTTACAAAAAACGTTAGAACTACCTGAATTAATATTAGATTAGACCATTGTAGTGAATGCAAAGGTTTGTTTTAGGGGAAGTATTGTACAGCACACAGTGATCGTTACATCTCTAAAGAAATTGCATTCATTATTGTCATTTAGTTGTAATTGGCCTTTTACTTGAAAGAAGCAGTTTTTGTAACCTTTTAAGTTATATAGAAGTAGTGTTCGTGCTTCTGATTTCAAGAGAATAAATTTTTTGTGCAAGAGTTTTATCTATAGTCCCCAATATGATTAGAAATGTGATTTTAAAGACATACATAAATACCAATTACTTATGATCTTATTTATGCACTTTTTATTGAATGAGCTTTTCATATTGTTTTATCAAATAGTATTTTCCCCTAGTGCGATATATGGAAAAATACTGGTTCATCAGCATGGGCAAAATGGTAGTATTTGTTTCTGATCCACGAAGTTTTCCATCTAAACCACACTGTCCTATTCAGCTGAAGAAAAGGAAGATGTATTTATTTGCAATTATACCCCACTGTTTTAATATGGTTTGCTCTTACTTTCTAATATGGAGCGCTCACACTTTTTGTTTTTAAGATGTATATAACTGTTGGAGAGTGTTGGTTGGTTTTGTTGTTTTGGTGCCGTTGTTTTGCCTTATGGTTTGTTTGTTAACTGTAATAAAGGCTTCTTGTTGAAAAGGAAGATGCAGGGATGTATTAATTGAGAATCCATTTCACAACATCTTCCTTAAGGAAAGAGAATCTATTTGCCTCTCTTTGTGACAAGCACAAAACACTTAACTTGTTGTTAACAGAGGTCCAATTCACAGATTCTTTTGAGGTGGCAAAGTGAATTACTGGTCAATGAACCTGCATCTACATAAATCATTTCAATTGTAGCACCAAATGTGAAAAGCAAGTTATCTGGGCATGTCTTGAGCGGATAATCCATATTGGGCTGGTTCTATTTTTAGAAAAACTCAGGTGATTGCTGATTTTAGCTGTTGTGGAAGGGAACTACTTTATTGTAATTCATTCCCAGGGAGGTGCTTGTGTTTTGTTTTGTTTTTTACCCCTTCTCTTCAAGTGACAAAACAATAACCAGCCTTGATGCTATGCATTTTAACTGAGGGCAGAAATGAAACATGTGCAATCTTGACATTCTGACAGTAATTCTCAATGCACCATTGTCATCCCAGCATGGTGGCCTAGTGATCTGAGGACTTCCATTTACTTTAGCCAGTGGTTCAAAAGCATTGTTATTGTGAACATAAGTAGATGGAATTTCTCCTTGGTTTCCTTTCAAACTCCTACTATTCTTCACACAAAAAACACAAGCCCATTTACTGTGATCATAAACAAGTTTTAATGTATGAAACACACAATTAGATACTTCACTTGTAAAAAAAAAAAAGGGGGGGTGATATCAGGACACAAAGCACACTCCTGAAACCTATCGAAGTTAATGGACACACATTTTATCTATCTACTGTATTTCCACTTTGATGGCTATAAATACCTTAATGGATGAGCAACATTTCAACTACGGTGTACTTGATCAATTTTTAGAAATCCTACTCAGCCACAGCATTTTGCTTTGTTTACAGGCCTTGTATCGAGATCTAAATCTACTTATCTAGTTGATCTTAGAATCCAATGTTCCTCGTATTTATTTTTCCCATAATAATGATTTAATCTTCTATAAGTGATTATAAACTGACAGCCATTTATCCAATTTGTAACACATACAAATTCTATGCATATGCAGAATCATTACCATTCCCACAGGGGACAATTTACACCATGAATGCTGACTCTGTATGTTTTAATCGAAAACTAAAAACGCATGGAATTTAACAACATTAAGAAAGTATATACTAAGTAGGTTCTGTTACAGAAAGAAAAAAAAGGGGCCAGGTTCAAAATCTGAACAACAAAAAGATAGATGTTTACTATCAGTTCGAATGCTGAACATTCAAGTTACTTGTCCAAAAAAAGAAAAAAGCCACTATGAGGGCTGTTAACTCACAGTGAATACCACTGTTTAAATTACTGTTGAATCTGGGGAAAGTTCTTAAAATCATTGCATTTTATGGAAGCACAACTGATTCCTCCATAACAGAGTCATTACTTGAGTCCTCCAAACTCTGCAAATCTTCATCATTTTCAGATGCTTCTGCTGGACGTTTCATACCTCGCTGTTGTGAAATGGACAGGATATATTTCATGTTGTAACAATTCCAGTCACAACTGCAGAAACAAAACCATTAGAAAGATTTTTTAAGGTGTCTTCAAAGCAATGCTAGCAAAAACTTCTTTATCTGTATGAAAATATAGCCAAAAGTCAGAAGTAACATACTAGTTGAAAATGTTAACAAATTGACCCAGTTACTCAATTATCACTGACGTCAACGAAACACAAAATGACTGAAACAATATTGAACACCTGCCTATGGTACTCACACATACAACTCTATTATTATATATACAAGTTAACAAAGTAGATGTGTTCCTGGACATTACTTCTTTAAAACAAAAAAGGGGTTCTAGGGGAAGAAATTAATATGGAAATAATAGGGACAGATTCCTACACCATAAAAAGAAGAGCAGTTCTAATTGTTTCAGCAAACTTTTTATTCAAAATTAACACTTCTAGAAACCACTTGAAATCTTCCAAAATGCATGGAAGGATGATTTTTTTTAATCTTTGGCCTTTTTATCACTGGCTTTCACTCTTTCTATGATTCTCATTTTGGTGGTCAAACTTACTGATGTATGCTTTTTTTAATATGCTGGAGTAGCTGGTGGGCGGGCTTATCTGTTTTCTTTCTGTTTTGCTATTCACATATGCTAATCTAAGGATTTTGGAGGCATCTGCTATTTACCTTGCCTGTTGTAAGTAGGACGAAATGGCTACAGTAGCATCTAGAGAAGAATCTGTTCTTTCCAAGCTGAAGGTTTATGGCATTGTTTACTACAGATGCACTGCTGCAAACTTCACCAAATGTCTATGTTTCTCCAGCCCTCTTTCACTATCCTTCAAATGTTGATGCAGCTTAAAACATTGTTCCAGATAGACAGAGGACAAAGAGAAAAATGGAGGCCAGGTGGGAATAAAAAGGCTTTGTAAAAAGGATCTTCACTGTCAGAAGCTTTGTTACTGAGATATGCCTGTACACACATACACACACACTCTTGAGTAAGACCTTTCCTCCTTACTAGTAGCTTTGGCAGTTTCATTACCTAATTCGAGATGTTCTAATAAACAAGAGCAAAAAGAGCTATGCCTCTATTTTCAGATATTACGATTTTCGAAACTGACTACTGCATGCAAGGATTACCTATTAAATACTCCCTTGTCTAG